TCCACATCTCATTTCTTTTATAAATCTCCTGATTCGAGCAGCTCGAGTTGTTGGTAGCAACACTTATAGATCTTGATGCAATGGACGGTAAAAGTAGTGTATCCTTACTGGCTGAGTGTTCCAGTTCTCCTGATGTAAATACAAGGTTAGCTTTTTCACCCTCTTTTGACATTTCTATGAAACGAATTAGACCCCGTTGTATTCTATTTCGCACTTGCATTTCTAATCTGTGCAATTAAACCTCACGTATTTCGTACTCAAGGTTCCCAAAATAATGTTTCTACTCCTTAAAATCGACTGCACTTTGTTTTGGATGATACTGAGACATTTCAATTTGTTTGTATGGTTTTGACTTGGCACGGCGTTTAAGAAAGCAAAGAAAACTTTTGAATCTTGTGTCTTAAACTAAAGATTCGTAGTAGAATGTACCAAAATGTCCTTTAATCTTGCGCTCTTAAACATGTCATGTGGAACGTTGAAATCAAAGAGTTGCGAATAAAAAGGAAAGAGGCATTCTTTTTTAAACGGACTGAAAAGTAAAGTAAGACAAACAAATTGAAACGAAGGGAGTATAACTGTTATTTCCAGCTTAAATTCAACCTTACTTTTTATTAGTTAAGAAATTATTAAACTTCCGAGGCTCCTAAAGATCGGATCTGTATCATCTTGAGACGAAGATGAAGGCGTTTTACTATCCTCATTTGTTTTATTTGTCTTTTACTTGTTTTGATTGATACAGTAATAGTCATTTTATATCTATCTATGACTCGAACACCCGTAAATTTCATCGTGTAGGAAAGCATTGGCAAATGCACTCTCAGCTGCACCGTCCATGTGGAGTTTAGGAAACGCTGGCATGGGAGCGTTACAGGTAATTTGTACAGAGAACTGATGTCTTATCATGCCATTTCCATGAACTGCACTTTCTCTTATTGATGCTATTCAACCCTAAAGATAACAGAAGCCTTTGTTTTTGTCCATAGAGACTAGCAGAAGATGACAACCCTGCGATTGCAGCTGCTGCATCGAAAACCATTCTTGAATTGAAAAGACAATGGGAAATAGGAGAGGGAGATAGCTGGAGGTTCATGGTGGACGAAGTGTCACCCAGGGATGTAGGGAGCCAAGATGACAACAACGGGACATATTAGAAGGTGCCTGTAACTCAATACTGTAGATATCTAGATGAAGGGACTAATCGATATTCGTCCTGTGAAAAAAAATAGTTCATAAGCTCTACTTACATTAGAAAAAAAATCTCAAAATGATTTTCATCCTTTCATGCTATGTAACTTGTTTGTATCTTTGGATCATTGATATTTTTATGAATGTATAAAAAGTCTTAAAGCAACACTTTATTCTTCTTATACAAAGCAGATTTCTGATAAATATATTGTTACTTAGTCCTATGACAGATAAAACTCAGTTCAATGCTACAACAGATGAATTTTTGTCCAATGCATGAATCTTAAGCCTCTCATCATCGCCTTCTAAAAATTACTTACATTTTTTTCCTTTTCTATACTTCCTCCGTCTCAATTTAAGTGTCTTAATTTTACTGAACACGAAATTTAAAAGCTTATATTCAGAAAAATGAATCCTGTGATGTAATCATTTAAATTGTGGTATTAAACTTATTAGGTAGAATATTAAAACTATGGAGGGGGCCAGGATTGGGCTGGATTCATCACAAAACTGGACCCACAGAGTCTTAGTTGGACTACCCGTGGTCCGGTCCAATCCAATAGTGTCACGTCACTCCTGAACCGGTTACCTGGACCACCCCGCTCGGACCCCTCCCCACCAAAAAAACTTGGTAACCAATCGGAATTGGTTAGACTCGACCCCATATAAAAATTTTATGACCGATCAAGAAAAAGTAAGACAATTAAATTGAAACGAAGGGTATTTTTTTATTTGAATTTCTTTGTGGATAAGCTCTTTCTATTTTTTAAATTTCTTTAGTACTAGTATAGTAGCAAATTATTCACTGTGCTTTTGAAGCTGACATTGTCCTCACTCTCTCTCTCTCTCTCTCTCTCCATCTCTTTGTGGGGACATTTCTTTCTCTCTCTCTCTGCAAGTTTCAATGGCTACTGAATTTGTCAACAAGATTCATCCTGAATACCCTCAGGTAAAAAAAAATACCAACTTTTCATATTTTCACTTTGACCCCTTTTATTTTCTTTAAATTTTTTTCTGCTAAAAATCATGTTCTAAGTTCATTCTTTTCTCAAAAATTTGACTCGTTTTCACATTATATCAGATGGGGTGTTGTTTTTTTTTCTTGGTTTTAGTAGAAAGATTTGAACTTTTGAAGAAATTGGAGAAAAAAACATTTTTTTTAATGTTTTCTTCATGAATTCTGATCCTTTCTTTGTTTAGTTTTACATGAAGTATGCATGCTTCAGAAACTTAAGTACTAGTATAAAAAGAATGTTTTTTTCCCTGTTTTGACAACTTCTTTAATTTTAATTTTTTACGCCGTATATTTGAGACATTCTACTATCTTTAGTTTAAGACTATAAAATTCGAAAGTTTTTTAATTTTTTAAAATTTCATGTCAAATCAAAATAAACAAATAAAGATTCGAAAGTTTTTTTAAATATTTTTTTTGTGTCAAATCAAAACCATACAAATAAATTGAAATTGAGATAGTACAAAGTTTCTTGCTTTCTAGCAAGTTTTTGTTTTTTTTAGCTCAAATTGATTCCTTTTTAGTGTTTCACTTAAGGCTTCTGTTGGTTTTAGAAGAAAGATTTAATCTTTGACAACTAAGAAGGAAGAAAAACAAGAAGTGTTCATTTTTCTTCAAGCAAAATTGTAACTTTTTGTGCAGTACAACTGGATTTTTCTTGAATTTTGGCTTTTCAAAATTTTAGATTATTGCATTTGTTAGTGCCAAAAATGAAATTTGGAATCCCAAGAAAACTTTGGAAAAAGAGAATAAAGAACAGTTTATTAAAGAAACAGGAACAACTTTTGTCTAGTTAATTTTTTGCTTTTTTACTTCTTTAATGGCTCCCACATGATCACATGATCATCAAGAATGCTTTTTTTTTTTAAAAAAAAAAAAAAATCTGCATGTCTGTCTTTTTTTTTAATTGTTTATTTCATTACAAAAAAAAAAATTCAACTTTTGGGATGTTGGTTTTAATTATCAGATGATTTATGAAGCCCTTGATGCATTGCAACAAAAAGAAGGCTCAAACAAGTCATCAATATCAAAGTACATTGAATCTAAGTATGGAAACATGAATGATGCACACTCAAAGTTACTAACTTACCATTTGGATAGAATGAAACAAACTGGTGAACTTATTTTCCTAAAAAACAACTACATTAAACCTGGTCCAGATGCACCCCCTAAGCGTGGCCGCGGCCGACCACCAAAACCCAAAACTACATTGCCACAAGGAACAGAAATTGCAGCTCCAAAGCCAAGAGGTCGGCCGAAAAAAGACCCCAATGCACCACCTACTCCCAAGAAACCAAAACTAACAAGTGTCCCTAGTGACTTAGCTCCTGTTTCGAAAACAGGAAGGCCTAGAGGTAGGCCTAGGAAGATTAGGCCACAGCCACCACAAAATGGTTTAGAGTGAAGCTGAAAAATTCGCGGACTTGGTTGATGGTGATGACTTTTATAACTCTGTTATGTTTTAAGATTTCTTGGTTGATGTTGTAGTTGTAACGAGTTGTGTTTCTTTTAGCTGTGCAATGTAGATTGTTAGGAGAGTCTGTACTTGTTTTAATGCTTGATGATTCAAGATTCGCAGTAGATAGGAAAGTTAAGCCACAGCCAGCACAAAATGGTGTAGAGTGAAGCTGAAGATTTGTGGACTTTGTTGATGGTGATGACTCTTTATGACTCTGTTATATCTTGAGTTTTTCTTAGTTGATGTTGTATTTGTAGTGATTTGTGTGTAGTTCTTGTAGCTGAGAAATATAGATTGTTAGAAGAGTGTGTACTTGTTTAATGCTTGTTGATTCAAGATTCATACTGAAAATTTGTGGGATGTTATTACTTCATCTGACTTTGTTATGTTGTGTTAGTCTTCTTTTTTTCTTGGTTGGTATTTTATTTGTATTTCTTGTTAGAAGAGGATGTACTTGTTGTTCAATGCTTAATTCTATTATCATCCATTGAAGTGTCCTACATTGGTTAAGGGAATGGATTGTTGTCTTTTTATATATAGTCCGGACAATCTTCATTTTACGAGCTAACTTTCAAAGTTGAGTAAGATCTAGTTTATTTTCTTGATTGGGTATTAGAACCACACTCAATTCTTATTCTTAGTTCAACTATATTGGCCCCCATGTTGTTGTCAACTCTCCAAATAGATTGTTGTCTTCTCATATAGTTGTCAACAATTCTAATTCTATGAGCTAGCTTTTGAGGTTGAGACAAGTCATTTATTTTATTAACAAAATTATACAAGTGAACCTTTTCTTTATATTGATAAATTCAGTTGTGGTGTTTGATGGTGACTGATAAAGTGAGTGTGTGCTGGAAGTGAAGGTGAAAGTGGGTAAGGGATTGATATATAAATGGAGACAGTGGGAAAGTGGATTTGTGACATGTTATGTGAACCAAAAACATCACATGTACAAAAAAAAAATCTAGATAGTCTTTGTCCAAGACATTATCTCTTTTATCTTCTAAAATTTCCTATGAATTGGTAATGTCTTTATCAAAGGTGCTTAAGGTCCCCACTTGAGTTTGGAATCTTGATTTATTACAACAAATTCATGGTTGTAACTTCTTGTTGGAATGTCTACATTGTTGTAAGAGTTACTTATTCCAAAAAGTATTTCTTTTACTTTTATCCTTCCCATAAAAGGATAATATTTGGTTGAAGTTGAAACAATAAGTAACTGAAACTGCAAAAAAATTGTCCTTTTTAGGACAATAGTAGGAAGCATACACATGGTTCATACACAATGACGATGTCTCGATTCAAAGTAAGTCGAGGTCAGTTATATGAATCTTCACTTACTAGTTAAGCTCATCCCAAACCGATATTATACAAAAGACAGATTGTTGTCATGATCTGATGTTACATACAATCATACATTAGTATTTCTATCAACTTCAACTTACAACCCAACTTTGCATGAGATAAAATAAGAGAATAAAAAGTTCTCTAACTTCTCATACTAAAATTGAGAGATTAAAAGCTCTACAACTCCTCATATTGAACTGAAAAACCACAAAGACATCGTTTCGTCCTTGTTGAACTTTCTTCATCAACAGTCTGATCTTCTACTAGGAAAACATGCTCATGGTTTTCTGCAAGTACAAATGATGGACTATTAGATTTGGCAATCTCAGATTTTTCTTGATGAGCGCTCCTCGTGTTCTCACTGCCACCAGCTAGAAAGGAGGATTTATCGTTGGACGTTGCAATATTGACTGCTGATTGTGAGGATGCCCCGTCTACGTAACGATTATGCAACCTCTGTCGAGTAATAAGCGATGAAAGAAGCTGATACCACCTAGAAAGAGCTTCTGCTTCAGTCCTCCTCCGCTCTTTGGCCTCTCTTCTCACCTCTTCTTCTGCATATGCCTGATAACATCTCAACGAATTCAACATTAGTTCTACCGGATTGCTTCAAATGTAGTAATGGCTTTGGAATTATTTGATAGCATTTGAACGAAAAAGTTTTGAGGAATGAAGAATGAAAACATGATTGGTGGGGGAGACCTCAAAGATATGTAACCAAGCAATGGAAATATATTACAGGTATGCAATTTAATTACCTCAAGAATTGCATCCTTGAACTCGGTACATACCACAATCCCCTCATAAACAGGTAGAGATCGACCATTCCGGAATTCAAATCCAACCATAGCAGGTGAAAAATCTATTTGCAGCCTTTTAGCAATAGGAACCAACCTTGGCAATCTCAAATGGACTGTACCAGGTGGAAGGCACTTCTCAGACCAGACATCCACTTGACCACGCTCATTCTAGGAAAAAAACAGCAACTGTCACGTTCTAGCCAAAAACAACCATAAAGACAAGATCGGCAAACAAATCAAAAACTGAGCTAAATGTTGTAACCAATTATTCCATCTGCTACATATATGAAAAGAAGCACATATAAACATAACATGTAGAATGTGTGAACAGGGACAAATAACCTTCTCAAGCAACTGCTCTGTAAAACCATCTCAAGAAGCCAACAAACGAACCTAAGATCGGTTTAATTAACATTTCTAGCAAGAAGAGATTTCAAAGGTCTGAATTGCAAATGAACAATTGGAGTAATTAAGCACACCTAAAGGATGTTAACATATTGCCTTTAACTATAAACAAATTACTGAAATTCTATAAAAAAAATTCTCTTATATGGGCACAATAACTTATCCATGTCATTTAAGTGTTTAATCTCCAAAGTCCTGAAGTTGTTTTTCATCATGTTTATAAGGTCAAGAAGCAAAGGGAAAAAGAAATTATCTTAGCTGGGAGAGAAATCCCAAGGCACAGGGAATAATGATAATGGAACTACCAGTAGCTAAGACATAAGATCATGGAAAGTTCAGCAGACATTAAATCTGTCCCAACTCAAATAATGGCAGATGCCTCTGTCTGTAACGCGTAATTGAAAACGAAATATTCTTAAGCGGGAGAGAATACAGAGATATGAGAATTAGCTATATGAAAGATGCATAAACTAGATGGATAAACAAGGTTTACATGCTATGGATCTGTCAAAAGAAATCCAGAGCTTTACATGATGTTGTGAAAGGGTTAAAGGGATCCTTACTGGAGAGGCTCTGAACCCGAAATAGGATTGATGCAGCTCTGGGCTTTTGGAAAGTTGAAGATGCAAAGGGAAAATAGACAATCTTTTGAACAATCAAACTATCATAAGATTCTAGCATGCACCCACTTAGAGCAGATCGAGATTCTCAGATGGGAAAAGCGGAAAAGAGTCTATCTAAACATGGTTCCAAACAAATATTGATCTTATTTTCTTATAGCTTATAATTTAGCATAAAATGTCAAATCCCAAATAAATCTCAACTTTATCAATATGTGTATCACTTAGAAGGCTTCACCTTAGGTACAATGCCATTTACTGCAGGAGGAAGAAACAGTGGTTCAGTTTGCCACTGTCCATAGAGAGCGACAGTTCCTTCACTATCTCCCTCGCCATAATCATCATCTTCAACATCCCGTCCTTTGTTTTGCTTTCCGGAACGCTTCAGAACCTGAGCGTAAACTCGCAGATTATGGTACTTGCAGAGTTGAGGACAATCAAAAATAATAATGTAGACACACAAAAGATTTATGTGCAAATAAAACCTTTGCGGGTATCTCATTAGCTTTCACTTGGAGCCCCTCGCGAAGCCATCTTTCCTTTCTTTGGAGTGTTCGTACACAGGATCGTGGGTATACTGGATGACCAGAACAAAAACCTAATACAGGTCCTTTGGGGTAGAGTATCTGATTTCTGTTAAGCCATCTTTCAATTATGTATAGGTGATGGCTTCTGTAAGCCTGCAGAAAAAAATAGTTCAAACCAAATCTATTGGCCGTACAACGTAGTCACATTTTAGCAAATATTTGTGTTTGTTATACCTGTTGATTTGTTGGAAGAGGTTCAGTCAGTTCCCTAGTTTCCAACTCCATATCTTCGAGAGAGCTCCTGGTTGCTGTAAAAGAATTCCGTATAAAGAATTTTTCAAGAGTTCTCTATCACTATGTTCACGCATATCCAGCAGGCAATCATTACCTCCTTGTGCAAAATGAACTACATCACTGGTGGCAACTGACTCCAACTTCTTTAATGGTGCCAATACTGCATCCCACCAAATTGAGTTGACTCGTTCAGATGCTATCTTGTACCACTTTGTACAGTACCTGGCAGGAAAATTGAAAGACATATTAGGCAGAAGTATCTCCCAGTTAATCTCCTCCTTACAGACTCTTCCAATTAATTTAAAAGCTTCTGATTGATCCAATGTCATCAAAGGTGAAAAGCGTTAAAAAGTGCACCGGGTCTATCAGAGTTTTCAGAGCAAAGAAAAAATGAAGTGTAATGATAATAATAAGAGTACTTTAGGTCATAAGAAAAATGATGAGGACTATAATGATTCAACAACAACATACCCAGAACTCATGGTTTGCATCTCGTCTATGTAGGGAAGGGGTAAAACAAGGAAAAATGACAAGGGAAAGACACAAATGGTTTAAGATTCTGTGTGTGAAACAATGATGGTATGAAAAAAGTAATTATAATATTATATAGTAATGAAACCAAGGAGTAAATCAAGATGGACAAACCATAAAAAATGAAAGCATAAATGCTGCAGATAAAATGATTAAGATTATACATAAAACGATGTCTAACAGAACTAAACCTAAGAGAAACTAAAGCACTCAATGAAATTCGTAACACCAAAGCAGCGAGAACTAGAAACCTGCGTGTCACATCTTTAGCTCCATTTCCAGCAAAAGCAACAACGTATCTTAAAGGCAACTTGCATGCAGCTGCTGCAGCTTCCACATTTTGCTCTCCATCAGTGATTGCATTTACGACATCAACATGCACCCACTTCCCAGTCAGGTTCTCACCACTGCAGTAGACCTCTGCCCAGTATAGAGGTGCCCCTACTTTCCTAGATCCAACAGCAGTTGATATTCCATGAGAGGAAGTTGAACACTCTTCTGCTTTAATTTTCTTCTTTTTGAACGGTGATACATTTGATGAAGTACTTCCTACATCCTTCACATCTGAGATCATAGTGTTCCTAGCAATTTCAACTGCAGTCGTAGAAAGAGCCATTTCCAACTGCATCTCAAATTCAAGGTCCCCTTTTCTCTTTGGCCGCTCTTTTTTTATAATACATGCATCATTAGAATCATCCTGAGCATCTGATGTTGATGCTGACATTCTTTTATTAGACTTATCTGTAATAGTTTCTCTAGACTTGTCACTGGTAGCTTGGCCAGCAGATGTTGAAGTCTTATCGGAAACATTATGCTTGCCATAAGCCATAGATTTAGCAGGAGAGAGAGGAGAACACTTTGGTCCAGCCACCATCAATGTTGAAGAGCTAAATATCCCGCTACCAGCCCTACTAGGGCCTTTACCAGAGGGATATGATTTCTCAATTTCAGGCTTCAAAGAAGCCACATCCAAGATTGATACAAACCTGCAAAGAATATCTTCAGATATCTTGAAGGTAATTTGTCATGAGATTAAAAACTTGCAATCTTTGGGGCTTTCTTAATGCTTGCAAGATCGAGAATAGAAAAAATAAGCAGCTTAAATTGTCCTTTTGGTATACATACCACCAGGGGGTTTTCATGTTTGAAATGCAGTAAAGAACCTGTACAAGAGAAGTTCTAATGCAAGATTGTCACCTAACTTCCTAGACCATGCTGCTTGTTACCAAAATAGAAGACTGCAGAAAGGGACTTCCACAAATGTGTCAAAAACCAGGGAAACTTGAATTGTCAGCACTTAGCTAGGGTATATTTATGCACTTCCTTACTCCAACAATAGTCAATTCGTTGACAAATGTGTTAACATCACGATGCAATAGCTCTAGCAACTAACTAAATATGTACAGAAAAATGAGAAACAGAACTCACTTAATATGAACTGGGGAACACAAGTCATAAAAATAAGTCAACTGACTTGAGACAGTTTCAGAGTTTAAATGCTCTACACAGCTTAACTCCCTCCCTTTGACTTACACATTGACATGAATCCTCATGGTCAACAAGTTAGGACTTAGAGCATTTGCGCATAATCGTCATTAAGAAGCCAGAGTAACGGATAATAAAACAGTCAGTAGAAGAACAATAGAGGCTATTTAGCTGTAAATAAGAATAGGAAAAGTAGCAGCTTACCTGGTAGTAAGATTCAAGGCCCTAAACAGGGCAACAGATAATGCAGCAACCTGTAATATCAAAAAAAAGGGCTTGTTCTAAGATAAATGGGCAAAATACTAAACACTGTATCTTCAATCAAGATGTAGAGGCCTGCACAGCCTCCAACTCTGTTTTTAAATAGGTAGGTTCCAAAGTTTAAGCAATTAACCATGATATTACACCATATCTAAATGACCATAGTTTCTTTAATTTCTTTTTTTTCAAGACAAAAAGGGCAAATAACAAACTTAAGAACTATCTAATTGAACAAACACAAAAACAGGTTAGGTTGTACAACTTGTTGTCTGAGAAACTTCCACAAGCGGATCTGCAATGAATAACTGTGTCTGAATTACAAGAAATTGCAAGCTAAATTTGGTGACTTTAGCAGAAAAGCATAAGTTAAACCATTTTCTTCAGCAGCAACCATCATTATCTATTACCATCTCCTGTCACTATAAGACTACTTATGTCTATGCAACCTAGTCTCCGACCATCTGATTCATATCTAGGGGAGGACATTCGGAATTTTGTTCAGTATTTTCAAAGTTCATTTTTGATAATCGGTAATTGATAGTCGATACCAAATACCCAACTTTCAAAGTTCAGTCCAGTACAGTAAATCAAACCTCGGTATGGTAAATCACGGTACAGTAAGTTGGTAATTACTTATAGACTTCACCTTTACAAGGCCACAACTCTTTTTTACTACTCCGGTACTCCCCCCACTTTTTTGGTTGGCCTAATTTTTTACACTCACATTAACTCTTCTAAACACCCAATTAGTCCTGCTTTAAAGTCTGATTTACCCCTACCACCGTCCATTAATTATATTTCTGCCCACAGCTTGTTTTACCCTCAAAAAATTTCTATATTTAATTGGCACTCAGAGAGTATAGAAAGGTTTAAATGGAAAGTAATAGCTATGAGGTTACTGACTGATTTGAATAGGACAGTGACCTTGAATAAACAACTAGCATTTCAACTCTCTGAAGCATTAAAATTTAACTTGTTGATCACTGTGCTGCTGGCTCCTTAATTAGAGACTATTTTCTAAATAGAAAGTGAAAATTCTTGAACATTGTACACAAGATTAGAGCGAGAGAACTTGATCGGTTATAATCACAAACAAAAAAAATGACATGTTATCAAAGTCATTTGACTGTGAATCTTTAGTTTATTTAAGGCATCATGCCACCACTAGAGCTAAATAGATAATCCAACATAAGAGTAAGGCGATGTCTATAATTGGAAAACTGTAATAGATTAACATACTGTGGTATTCGGTAGTACTGACTTGTCTGGAACCGGGTACCAAAACCGATTACCAAAATTCTGAAATTTACTCCCAAATACAGTACCAGTTAGTGAATCACCAAATTTCTCGGTTCTGCTCGGTAATTCGGTTTACGGTGAACTATGCCCACCCCTATTCATATCCTAAAGCAAGAAGATGCAAATATATGATGGGGCAGAGAAGTAAACATGTGATGTAGAGGAAACATGTCAAATGTCAGGGTAGCCTTAATCCATTACACAGGAACTTCCCAAGAGAGCACGCAATGTTACAGAAAAAGCTATGCTCAGAACAAGCAAAACAAGGAGGAAACACTTATAAAGGAAAACATACCTCTTCTGGGGTCCCTTCCTGGGACTCGAGAGTTGATGCCAAAGCTGAATGAAATGGCTTCTCCGTATCATTTGCACCTCTAACACGGAAATGACTGTGGCACTGCATCCAGTGGTAAAAGGTGAAATAAGAGATTGAAACTTCTATATCAAAGGGTAGTTATAATGATAACATGTAACACATACCCAATTGACAAGAGGAGCTAGTGCATTTGCAGTAAGTTTTGGAGCATCGGTCAACTTCAGCAGATGTGCAGGCAGCAGTGAAAGTAAAGAAGCCTGGCAAAAGTAAGTAATTTCTTATATAGTATAAGTATCAGTACTTGGAGCAAACGATTAAAAGTCAAAAGCTCGTCAGTATTTCCATATCATGCACACAGAAGAGGTATAGCATGCTAAGTCAAATATTAATGTTTTTTGGGGAAAAAAAAAAAAAGAAACCATAGATTAATTTCATAATAAATGAGAGTTGCTAAAAAAACATATCATAATTGAAATTATCTGAGAGTATGTAAGCATAGGCACAAAGTTCCCAGTGATCATGTGTTGTAGAATTATATAGAGATTTTAAATTTACATAATTTCTAAGTTCAACACATGTAACAACCATAAGTCCATAACAGCAAGAAAGGTGAGAGATGATTAATCTAGTTAGAATATCAAACTACAGGCATAAGAAAGAACCTGGATAAGAGGATCATTGCAAGCTCTATCTACCAACCTGCCCCTTGCTAGTAAACAAAGCAAGTTAACCTTATGCACAAGCTCAGCCAATTCCTGTAATTTAAGGAGGAAAAGTATAACTCGATGCACTTTCAACAAGGGACTAAAATCTTAGATCATGGTATTCATATATTTATCATATTCAAACCACCTTTTCTTCAGCAGTTGCTCGCCGTACTGTCTTCTGTTTACTAGGATCAGGCGGAGCATCAAACTCAACAGTCACACCATTGATTGTATCTTCCTTAACATTGCTTTCGGACTTCAAAGTATCGACTGGCCCATCTTCCCAATCAATACCATCAAGTTCATCTTCCCTCTCAATACTCTGACACTGAACATCTGTACTTCCATTTTCCAGTTCCGATGGCACATTTTGTAACACATCTGTAGTGCAGCATTTAGCATCTAATGTAGTCCTTACAACTGTAGTACCAGTAAGCTGCTTTTCTGCCTCACTTGATCCATTCTCTGGCTAAACATATAAAACATAATAGAAATTAAGAAATCCATTACAAAAATGCAGTTCATACCTAAATCATCATCCAAAACACGTGCAAACCACATCTGATTATTCAGCACTATGAAACAAATAGATACTTCTTCCTGGAGGAAATGTTTCACTCAATACATTGCCTAACTGAAGCGATAGAGCAAGAAAGAAACAAACCTCGCCCATGGTATCCTGTTTGCATAGGTAACTATCATCTGTTTTCAGACCCCGAGAGCCACGTGACTTGTTGACTCGTTTCAAAAGTTTCCCCACTGCACCTCGAGATATGTTTGCAAGAGTTTCTGAAATCAAGCATTCTATTCTTAACATAGTTTCAACCTTAAAGTACTCAAATCTCTACTATTATTGTCAATCCATATTAAATTACTTATTAAGATTTTTAAAAATATTAATTAATAATGAACAATTGCAATGGAACAAACCATTGCCACTGGCTTCGTCTTTGCAACCGCTTAGGCTCTCCATCTCACCATAGTGTTTCAAAGAGTCTTCATTTGCTGTCCAAAATGGAACACATAAGTTAACCAGACCTCAGTGTGCTCCGGTAATGGAACAAACAAACTTAGCACATAACACAAGTCCATGCATAAGCATATTGATCTTCTCCCTTTTGATCAGTGGTCACTAGTCATTTGCAAAGCTTGTGAATGTTCGTTTCAAGTAAGACACCACTCAGGCAGACAAACAGAAATTACTTATCATCAAAATACACACGTTATCAATTGAAAATAAAGAAACATGCCTCAGATGGTCGGCTATTGAGAACTCACTCATTTTTTCACTTCAACCACAAGATTTTTCAAAGCTATAACCCAAACCAAGAAAACGCTACCAACAAAAAAAAATGAATCCCAGAAATAACTTGCAAAGAAAGATGAAAAGATCCCATAGAGGGATAGATGAAGAGGGAGACCAGTTAAAAGAATAAGTGCAAGAATCCAAGATTGAATTGTATGCATTCTTCCTTATGTTTTGGTGTCGTGATGTTGGTTAAAGAAAAAATACCACTTGATAAACAGAAAGCCAAAGATATCTACCAAAGAAAGATGAATGAACCTGAAAAGAGGATTGTAAGAAGGACTAGAGAAGCAAATAAATGTGAAACAAATTCTAAAAATTGAAACTTTATGCAGTCTGGTTGTGTTTTTGGTGGCATGTTGTGTGGTTAACGAAAACATACCAGTTGATGAACTGACTACCATTGGCAACTAGCAAACAAAGATGAAATAATCCTATAAAGGGGTAGTCAAAGAATAGGATCAAATTAACCAAAAACGAGAAACAATAATCAAAGATTGAACTTCCTATGCTTGGTTATGTTTTGCTGTAATGTTGTGTAGTTAAACATTTGCTAAACTGAAACCCAAATAAAAACATGGAAAAAATAATCCTTTAAACCGATAGTTAAAGAATAGGATAAATAAACTAAAAGGCCCCCAAGGCCTAGCTCAAGTGGCAGAAGGTGGAGGATTTGTGGCTTAGGTCGCAGGTTCAAGCCCCACACCATGCAAAGCGAAGCCCGGTATTTAAGTGGAGAAGGGTAGAGGGGCGGGCCCATTATCCACCGAGTTTAGAAGGCTGTGATTGGTCCAAAGGGCGGGTCACAGACGGATTTCTCGGTTATCAAAAAAAAAAAAAACTAAAAGGGCATAACACATAGATAAACCCTCAAACTTGTCCTCAATTGGCAAGTAAATGCTCCAACTTTGAGTATGGACATCTCAACTCATCTCCACTAGGTCAGTTAAAGACTCCAACTTACAAAGACACCTCCAAAATCTATATGCCACGTCAACATCCGGTTCCAAAAGACGGAGGATGAGTTGAAGTATTTAGTTACCCGTTGAAACCAAATTGAGGTGTCTAGATGTACACTCTCAAAGTTAGAACACTTACTAGCCAGTTGAGGTCAAGTGTTAGTGTATGTTTATGTCTTAAGCCAATTAAAAATGAGAAACAATAATCAAAGATTGATTTTTTATGCATTCTTTGTTATGTTTAGCTCTGGTTAATAAGATGCTAAACTGAATCATAAAGAACCTAGCAAACAAATGTAACATAAACCGATAAAGGGTGGTTAAATAAGACACAGAAGCAAACAAAAAAGGAGAAACAATAATCAAAAATAGAATTTTTATCCATTCTTGGTTATGTTTTGGTGTGGTCAATCAATTGCTAAACTGAAATCACAAAGAAAACTTGCAAACAAATGTGAAATAATCCGATAAAAGGGTGCATACTTAAAGAAGACACAAAAGCAAACAAAAATAAACAACAACATAGCGAGACTGTTTCAAATAGACCTCAGCTTTTAAAAAAAGAGGATTACAGATATGGAGCCGTAACAAGAATGAAATAATACGAAATGGAGAGCACTACACATCATAAAAAGAAAGAACGGTAACCACAATGAAATAATGTCATAACGGGATAACAAAAACACTGGTGATAACCGAAATTAAAGAACAAGAAACTACGAGAACAGTGCTAATACTACAAAATGAGAAACAAAACTCAAAAAAAAAATGAACTTTTATGCATTCTTGATTGTGGAAACATACCAGTTGATTGATTCTGTCGCTTTGCCTGATTTCTGGTTCGCATTTTTTTCGATGAATTTAGCTAAAGGAGAAGAAGAAGAAGAGGCGCGAGCTATTTGGTACGGTTGAAACCTATGAAATTCCCAAAACCCGGGAAGGAGGAGCAGAATTGTGCTTCTTTTTTCTCTCCCTTTTTAGTTATTTTGAGATAAAATTGTTGTTAGTTGTTTTTACGTGTCATTGTAAAATCTGAGACCTCGTGACTCTCAATTATTTTGTTGATCACGGATCACACCATTGGATGCTAAATTGTTTGTTTTCTACTTAGTCATTACAAGGTCTTTCGGAAATAATTCTTTTGTCTCTCCGTGAGATAAGGGTTAAGATATGTATATAGTATATACTCGACTTTCTGCATTCATTTATACTAAAAATTATTAGCATATATATTATTAATCATGTGTTTAGACATAATATTTTAACAATTTTCAAGATTAAATATCTAAGTGGGAGATTGTTGGGATATATACTATTAACCATATGTTAAGATATACAGTAATATTTATTATAGAATAAATATTTATTCAATTTTAATAGATCATATATTCGTTTGTGATGTTTGTTTATTTATATAGTGGAATATGGTATAGTGTATAGAGTTTAAGTTTATACACGGATGATTAAATCATCGGTTCTTATAAGTACAAAGTTTTTTGTTCACAATCTAAGATGAAAATTGGATATGCCATTGGTACAGTTGTAGCACAAGATTATATATAGTTTATCTTGATTATGGGAAAGGTAAGTTCCAACTTCATGTGCTAGTGCATTTTATATGTATTGAACGCAATCGAGTAGAGATAGTTGCTTTAGACTGACTGACAAAAACATATTCTCTAAACTATTAAATGTACTTATATTTGCATATATTAATTATCATTTTGATCTATTAAAAGGTGAGATTTTAAGATGGGTCAATATACGTGGTAGATTGGATGATAATAATATATATTGGTGAAATAATAAGTTAGTTGGTAGGAATTCATGTCTCGTTATAGAGATTGATGATATGTCCTTTTGAGAAGCTTATAAGTTTTTATCGTGTCAAACCTTGCAAGTTGATTTTTGAATTCGAAGCATGAAATAAGTTAAGTAGTGCTCTTATTCAGAAATAACAATATTTTACGTTTTTATTATCAATTATAGTTACAGTTTATCTAAGTGTTAAATAGTAACACCCTCTCCAATCTTATGTATACTTGTAATCCCATATTGTTTTATATTAACATCGGCATTGAAGCTTTATCAATCTTATAATGAAATCCAAAGAAATTAATAGAAGTATCGACATTTAGATAATTTGATATCAATTAAATGAATCCATTGATTTTTTTTTTCAATTCGATGTAAACGTGTAATCTCATAGTACTGCGTATCAATATCTGTGTTGAATCATTATTAATCTAAATGAAATTTAAAGGAATTGATGAAAGTATCGACATTTAGATGGGTTGAAATCTAAATGTTGCTACTAGTTGTTTATAGGACAAATTACAGAAATCACATACTTTTAAGGCAAAATTACAATCTATCCCTTAAAAATTTATAATTACATAAATCCCTCAAACGGATACAATAATATAAGCGCCGATACATTAATATGATGCGCGAGATACATTAATCGTTAAGTAAGATACATTACATTTTATACACGATACACTAATCTGATGTACATTTTATATATGATACACTAATCTGATGCGTGAAAATGAGGGATTTTGGAGATTTATAAAATTTATAGGAGATAATGATAATAAGTAAACTAAAATGTGAGATTTCTGTAATTTTTTCTTGTTTATATATGTCATTTCCTCTTATTGGGCCTACCACCATGCCTATAGACAAACTTTAGAGAGGCCCAAAGAAGTCGTCTAGTCCAACCCGGAACAAAAAACAAATCTTCTCCAATTCCCTTTTTTTCTCTGAAACCCTAACACACATTTTCTTCTCTCCCGATCAAAAATCTTCTCATCAATGGAGATCCTCTCTTAAAACCTGAAAGTATCTTCATACTTAGTCATTTTTCTCTCTTCCTCTCCTGCATTTCTGCGAAAAGTTACAGATTTGTACGTCCCTGGCGTGTTTCTGCATATATTGGTAAGGTTTTATTGCTTTTTTTAACATAATTTTGCTGTTGTTGCTGCGGATTGCTCATTTTTTAGCTGTATTTCCTGATTTTTTTGTTTTTGCTGGTTTTTTAATTGTTTGATTTGCTTCTCTGTTTGTATCATCTGTTTCTATATATATTGGTAAGCTTTTGTTATTTTTAATCGTTTTTTGCTGTTGTAGCTGCGGAAATTTCATGTTTTAGCGTTACCTTTTAGTGTACTGCTGTGTTCTTCATTCTACCTTATACTATGTAACTGTGTGCATTGACCCTAATTGAATACTAAGATATTACCTTCAATAAAAGAACTTCACTAAATATTTGCCATTAGATGTCTGGCTAGGGAATTCGTTATGTATGTTTGTATGTGACTCCCTATTTAATACACGGTTTAAGATGGTTTATCTGTTCATTTTTTCAATACTCCTTTTCCTTTAAGGAAATCCCGCGCTGGAAACAGCAAATGTCGTAGACCTGGGAGGACTTTATGAGGGTATATGCAGTTTGAAGTTTAGATTGTTTAGCTGGTGCCTGCATTCTCCATCCTTTTAAATGAAAAGAACCTTTGGAATGATGATTATGGAGTAATCCATCTGATTTCAAGCTGATGCGTTACAAGAAAACATAATGATTATTTTATCCTATTTTACTAAATTGGCAATAAGATAGTATAACGATTGCCTTGTAGTATGACTTGCTGCTAATAGTCTTTCTATAAAATGACAACCTGTTATCATTTTCTAATAATTTATCTCACCTGCTGTATCTGTATACTCGTATTGGTGGGTAATGCTTTCTGTCAAGTGACTGACTGCTTTAGCCAACTGTGAAACTGACTTGATTAGTTTAATTGGAAAGCCTTGGTGGTTACCAGTATTCGGAAGTTAGTCACCAAATTCTGTATCTTATATTTGCGTTAGCACGATGATGAAGATTGAATTAATCGGAGTCCGTAGATGATCCCCTGATCGTCTTGCCTGTGAATTGGATAAGCTGACTGCCCTACGCAGGAAGTTTTGTGAAATTTGAGGGAAAGGAAAACAAAGTCTAAATATTCAAAACAGCCAGAACTATTCAATGATTTTTCTTTTTGCTGTTATTTGGATTGTTTGATTTGTTCATCTATTTCTACATATATTGGTAAGGCTTTATTGCTTTTTAATCATGATTTTGCTAGTGTAGCCGTGGAAAGCTCAGGTTTTAGCATTTGTCCTATGTAGATTCCCTGGATAGTTTTTCAAATTTTATTGGCTCCTTAGTTTTAGCATAATTGTACTTGAGCCAGCAGACCAACTGTTTTTGCTTCTACTTTTGTAACTAATTTGCATCTTCTTGATGCCTTCAATGGAACATTTACTTCATCAAAAAAAAAAAGCTCAGGTTTTAGCTTTATTTAGTGATTTTTTCTTTTGCTGGCTTTGGAATTGTTTGATTTGTTAATCTGTTTGTAACATCTGTTTGTACATGTATTGGTAATCTTTTGTTATTTTAATAATTTTTTGCTGTTGTAGCTGCGGAAAGCTCATGTTTTTGTATTCAATTATTTTTGTTTTTGCTGGTTTTTGAGTTGTTTGATTTGTTCATCTGCTTGTATCATGTGTAAAATTGAGTGTACTATTTTGATTCTTTTTTAATTAATTTTTTCCATTGATTTACATGTTTTTGTTTTTTATTAAACAGTCGAATATACAATGCACATTCGTTTTTGTCCACTTTGGACCTTTTCTTGCCATATGTTTTGGTGTGGTTCAATTACTGCTCAAGTATATCTCTCTGTATCATTTGTATATTTTGTATTTTTGTTGCTAAAAGATTTCTAATGTAGGTAGTTTGTATCATTGTGATGGGGAGTAGATTGGGAAGAAGAGTTGTGAACTTCGCAAATCTTCCGATTAAACTTCTCATGCCTTCCTCTTTCTCCAACATCACTGAGATCTCCCTCAAAACCATCCCCTCTGCTTCCAAGGTAACATATCTTAATAATATTTATTAAACTACAACAAGAACTACCCTTCAATCTCAAACTAGTCGTCGATATTTTAAGTGTTAGAGCAAGTAAAATTTTGGGACCTTCCATCTTTAGGTTTTATTGCCCTTTGAAAGATTAATGTGCTTAAAATTTTCAAAGTATGTATTCCAACTTGGCATTTTTATAAAGAAGGATCTTGAGACTTCCATAACTTATTGGATCTGATCTGCCTGTCTAGTTTTTATGTTACGTTGTGGTTGTTCGAATTGTTCATTTTGAATCTGTTGCTGTATGAAATGATTCCATTTATTTTAGTGTTACTTTGAGGTTGTTCAAATTGCTTATTTCAAATCTGTTGCTGTATGAATAATGACGGGTTGGATAGGAACTGGCAAGTGATGAATTGTTTGTTTGCATTTCCTTTGTGCTTCTTCCTGTTGTTTGATGTTTCTCTAAGCCCATCTGCGAAGCTGCTTAATATACTGCCCAATGTGCTGTCATCCTTTTGTTAATTCTAATTCGCCTGATTTGGGTCTTAGGATCGTGCAATAGTTATATAGATCTTACCAGTTAATTGTTTGCATAGATGATTAGTTCTGCTTGTAGTATGAATTCAGATATCTGCCTGCGAAGTCTTGCATTTCTTGGTTACTGCAAAAATGAACAGAAATTTTTGCATATTGCTCGGAGGGGATCTACATTGCACACCAAGTAGTATTGGAAATTGTTCTCGTGAAAATAAATTGCTCTCTGATCTCTGCTCTTTTATTCTTAGGAGCTTTCTTGTTTTTTAGAATAAGAAGTGATGGTGAAATGTGTGTTTTTGGAGTCGTAGGTGAACTAACTTTAGGTCACATGGTGATTTGGGTTAATCACTCATTGTCTCTCATGCTTTTTTCTCAAATAATTAGACTCCTATCATGAAATCTTTCAGTGAAAAATGTATATATTTCCCTCCTGGTGCGAGTAAATAATTTCTACATTTGATGCTAGAAATGCGTAATCTTGCTAGTTGGTGTTGAGT